ACACACACACACACACACACACACACACACACACACTCGTTTTCATATCTTAGTGAAAACATCTCATTGACATAATGCTTTCCCTATAGCTGCTAACCCTAACCATCAAAAATGAATGCCTAACCCTCAGCCTAAACCTAACCATAACCTAATTGTATCACTGACACTAAAACCACACTTTGAGCCTCAAAAATGCCTTCAAACTTGTGGGCATGGACATTTTGTCTCCATAAGTAACTGTTGGTCCCCACAGTTATAGTGGCATGCCAGTCTTCTGTCCTCACAAAGATCTTTAAACATGTACACACACCAAAAGGCAAGGAAATAAACAAAGGGACTTTTACTGCCCAATGGAAACCATTATAGACTCACTGGTAATCCGTGTTGCATCACAAAAAGTCATTGTCTGTGTTCTTTACATTAGATAATTAATACATTAGCAATTTAGATTATCATACAAAGACAAAGTAATTAGTTTCTACCTTTATTTATGTTTTAGTCACTCGTAACAAGACATTTCCTCTTTCTTGTCTCTTTTGGGACGTATTAGCACCACTTATGATCGTCTCCCACACCCTTTAAAAACAGTTGTTTAAGTGGTTCATATGCACAGCTATCAATGATGAATTTTAATATGCTGTGAGATTAATCCCAAGCAGTCGTTTTCTGGCATAACCATTAGCATTAACCCCCTCCCCACCCTCCGACTCCCCTCCTACGCCTGTTGATGGATAATGGTGCTATTCCGTTAGGAGCAGTATCTCCATGAGGCATGTTCCACGGAGAGACGTGGGAGGTCACAACTGATGCAACAATCCCTTTCCGTGCTTCCTGCCCAATAACATTGCAGAAAAAAAGACTAAATCATTAAGAACACAAAGAAAAGTGTGCATATACAGTACATTAAACATTTGTGATGGCTGGTCTTTTCACTTCTCTTTATATACTTCAGGTTTTTCCATCAGAATCCTGCTGTGCCAAAAAGTAAACTTCAGTTTATGCAGCACACCCAAAAAAACTGAAGACACAAAACTCATCCAAAAAATACAATTTAATTTGAAACTCTGCTGTATTTTCTTCCTGTTTTGTTTTGTTAAACAGTTTCCCTGTGTGTCATGTTTTTTTTTTTTGCTTCTTTACCTTCGCTGCCTGTCTTACTTGACTTTTGACTCTGAACTGTGTAAATGTTAAAATGTCAAGTGTTTTTTTTTCTAGCAAGTCATGATGTTAACTGTAAAAGAATTACAAAAAACTGGTGCGTACATTTTTACAGGTACATAAGTAACTAGGTTGACAGATGACAAGTGTCTTGGTCAGAAGTGCTCTATTCCATCATTAAACCATTAGAAATGAAATCACTGAAACTCATAATACGCAGTCCATAGACGCCATCATTAGGGCAAGAAAACCCCCACAAAAGCCCACTAAAATGGGTGAGAGGATATTTTTTTGAATGCAAATAAACCTTCCTTCACAAATCAGCTAAGACTGCTTCAAAGCAGGTGCTGGAGTGTAGATGACCTATATGTGCCTATAAGGCCAGTTAACAGACCTGGGTTTGATTGTGTCCTGGACCATTTCCTGCATTTCGTTCCCTTTCACTGTTCTGTCCAGCAATAAAGACTAAACTGTCCAAAAACATATCTTAAAAAGAAACTCTTAAGTAAGTAGAGCCAAACTCAACGTCTTCAATGTAAATACAGATGATTGACCTCAAGAAGAAAACCACTGAAGGGCACTCAAAATCAGAAAGGCCACATTAAACTTTGTTAGAAAGGACAACTCCATGGAGAGATGAAAAGTTTGGAGATGGAAAGGAAGGCCTCATGATCTCAAGCACACAGGATCATCTGTCAAATATGCTGGAGATATTTTTTATGCAGGTAAGGGCATGGCTGGCAATAGAAAGGAAAAAGGAAAATGCATAATGTTTAATTTCATATGTGTTTATGCGTGGGTGGGTATGACATGGCATTATGTGGTGTCGCTGCACATGATTATTCATGTTTATTTCTGTGCCGTTTCTCCATATACTCAGCTTATTGCATGTGTGAATATATGTGTGCGTCTCCCCTCTTTGTGTGTTTCTGTATGCGTGAATGTTAGAAATGATTAATGAGTCTGGAAGAGTGCCTGTGGGCTGAGATCAGGTGCAACAAGATTTAACTTAGCAGAAAAAGCTCAGTTGTATTCGTACCCATTCAATTAACCTGTCCCTGTGCACTCTCAGGCTTCCTCTGCAGAGCCATTCATCTCTACGTTTTACACATCACTCTCCTGCGGCTGTCAAGAGCTCCCATTTAAACGCCGTCTTTTATTTGTAGCCCTTTTGTGTTTGCAGTGTAAGACTCGCACGCAACACTCACAATCAGCCTTTTTAGTCTCATCTGGTTAAGAATATGCAATAGAAGTACCTATGCTGTATCATCTAGAGTTAAATAAATGTTGAATGCCATCTGTGTTATTTAGCTATTGATTCTATGCTACCACGAAAGCACAGTTGCATTTTCTTTTATTATGCCCCTATGAGTGCAGACTTACCTAAAGAGCCACCTGCTGTAAGCTGAGAATTACTTAACAATTCATCCGTGAACTGTTTGTTACTCTTTCATGAATTTAAACCAGACATATCTGCTTGTGTGGCGCTCTTTCCATTGTTATAGTAAAAAAAAAAAAATGCACCCACCAGACACTTTATTAGGTACACCTGTTTAACACAAATATCTAATCAGTGAAGCACATGGCAGAAACCCTAATAAGACTTTGGTACTGTCCCTTTATGACCATAATGTATCCATCTTCTAATGGCTGCTTCCAGCTCAATAATGAACATAACGATGAGTTCACTGTACTCAAATCAGGTCCAGACTCACCAGATTGCATTCCAATAGAGAACCTTTGAGATATGATAGAATAGGCGATTCACATCTTCAAGGTGTAGCTGGTAAATCTGCAGCGTCTGTGTGATTCTATCATGTTAATAAGGTGTCAAAAGTGCAATGATTAATGTTTTATGTTTGCTACTATTGTAGCTTATTTTCTTCCAATTCAACCCCCAAACTCTGTTATGCTGTGTTTCTCACTTTCTGCATTAGTCACATGCAATTTTCTAAACAGATTTGGTTGCTGCATAATCATGATTGTTGTCATGATGTCATGATCATTATAGATTTTCTAAACTATGTTAGGTTTGGTTTATTTACCTCACCAGGCATGTGCATAGCTTAATATCTTAATACGTTTGCTACTTTTTGCAGGTTGGAGCTTCAGCATGGGTTCAGCATACCAGTTTCACAGTTGGAGGGTGTTTGTCGTCGTCTGCGCCCTACCCTGTGTGTGCGCTGTGGTGGCACTTACCTTTATGCCTGAAAGTCCCAGGTTTTACCTCGAGGTAACGAGACCTTCTGATTTTTAGCAGACTAAACCTATTTTAGTCTGCGCCTCCTGAATGTGCTGCATCAGTTCGTATCCCAGAGAATGCCTTGTCATGGTGCTGTGTTGTCCTCAACTGTCATCAGTTTTACATTCAGCATCTTTCAGACAAATTGAGATTACTTGGACATTTCCCAGCAGATGTTTAATCAGACAAAAACAGTGTGAGTCATTCAGTGCTGTTGGAGGCCTGTGTATGTGGAAAATAGAAGCTCAGAGATCTGTGACAGTAGGTTTGCCGCTCCAGCATAATTATCCTTTGAAGTGAAATGAGTCACCATTGTCGTGACTGTCATCATTTTGCCCTATCTTGGAGAAATCAAAGGCTTGTATTTATGCACCTGAGCAGCCTGCTGCTGCTGATCCCATGAGTTTATCTTGTCGTCTCTCTTCCTTACTTTCCTTGCTTGACAGGTGGGGAAGCATGATGAAGCCTGGATGATCCTTAAACAGATTCACGACACCAACATGAGAGCGCGTGGGCAACCTGAGAAAGTCTTCACTGTGAGTGTTTGTTTCTGCAGTGCTGGGTTTCCTGACGCTTAAAGAAGTAAAGAGGCTTATATTCTGCCACCACTGGGACAGATTTTAACGCTTTCACCGTGCAGGATCACATCTGAATTATGATGGTTCTGAAAGCTGTTTTGTGTCATTCAGGCTTATTTGCAGCATGAGCTCCACTTTGGGAAAGCCGCTTAGTCAACATGTTTCCTGAATTGATCCTATGCTATTGAACACACCGTTTATATTCACCCTTTTTATACTGGTTTGATTATTTTTTCCATAATTCTGTTCATTAAATTTTTAAAGATAAACAAACAAGCAAAATGCAAAAACCAAACAGAATGAATCCAATGCATGTACTTTAGGTCCAGAAATGTGTCAGTTTCCCATGTCAAAGTTCCAGTCAGCTCTCCCTTCCATTCATGCAACGTACAAGTTCTCCCAAATTTACAATTAGAGAGTTCCACATGGAAATAGAACGAGGATCATCTCCGACCCCCTTCACCATTATGGCTTTCCTCACTAGCATTAAAAGAGACTCAATCACAGCCTCTTTTAAGAGAGGTGGGAATCTTCTCAAGCAGACAGAGTAGCAGGTTTGTTGAAATCTGCTGACCTATTGCTGTACTGTCACAGCTGTTCAGAAGCTGATTTGATTTTTAATGCTGTGTAGGTGTAATTTTATTCTAGAAATAAATGAAAGGCTATGATATTGCACAACAATGTCAGTAATTCAATGTCAACTTATTGTAAAGTAATACAGACGTTATTCTTATACTGTTTTCCAATATTCCAGGTAAACAGGATCAAAACTCCACGGCAGTTGGATGAATTTGTTGAAATGGAATCAGAATCTGGCAACCCAGTTTCCAAGGCTTTCTTCAGGATAAAGGCTGAAGTTCGTGGGGTAAATATTTGTCTTTTTATTTGATTATAGTTAATTTTTAACTATAATTAATTTTATTGTAAATTCCTGCTTTTATAAATAACTTAAACCTTCCTAAATTCACTAATGCTAATTTCAGCTGCTAAGCAAATGTGTAAACCGGAAAACTATAGAGCCACCTTAAACCTTCCTCAATAAATTAAAACTGTTGTTTGAGTGTGACGACATAACCTTTTTGACTCCTTGTCAAAAGTGTCTAAGATTTGAGTAACAGAAATATCAAATCAAGTAGGGCGGGGCTACAGTTTATGTAATACCAATTCAAACCACAAGACGGTGCAACAATTCAGTGCGACTTTTCTTTAACTAGGCAAGTCGCCGATAACAAAACCTTATTTATAAACAGCTGCCTGGTGGAAATGGAAATAGGGCTAAAAAGAAGTATCGAAAGTCAAAAGCAGCAGCACATATCAGAGAACATCTCAACACCCTCTCTGGTAGCACACTGCCCCCTGGTGGAGAAGATTTCAGTTAAGTTGTGTACTAGGCCATTACAAAAAGTACCTTTAATTATATTTGTTTTCCTTATTATTCCACTGTACCAAATCCTGATGCCTATTCTAATAGAGCTCTTGTCTCTTTTTAGATCTATCTGAACCTTATGAAGTGTTTCAACTACCCAATGCGAGAAAACATGTTGCGACTGGCCATAGTGTGGTTCACGCTGTCATTCGGGTGAGATTTGTCAGTTTTGTCATAGAAAAATCAGACAAGTTTCTGTGGTCAGATAATAGCTCTAGGCAGTCTGTTTTGTTGGCACATTGCATTTCTGTCATCTTGAGCGCTGCTGTGTAGAAGTTGCACAGTCTCAAAATCAATCACTGTCTCCCTGCCCCACGGATCAATACAGTTTCATTGGTGTCTCTGTGGATACAGAGGTGGACCTGCGTGCATGTGTGGAGGAGACAAGACAGGAGGCAGCCAGTTGATTTTTTAAAGCACAAGTATCTTCTGGATTTCTAATGTGTCTGTCTATCTATTTATTGTTTTGTCAGGTCTCACTCTAACACGAACAACCTCTCGTTGATGAACCGATCAGCTGATTTTTTAGATCCAACTATCAACATGTCCCTCTGATTGCAGATATTATGGCCTGTCAGTCTGGTTCCCTGATGTCATCAAACACCTGCAGGCTGATGAGTATGCCTCTAAAGTGAAGATCCATAACAATGAACGCATCGAAGGCATCACCTTCAACTTCACCCTGGAGAACCAGATACACAAAAATATTCTCTTCATTAACGACCAGTAAGACAATTCAGTTTCATCATCATCATCATCATCATCATCATCATCATCATAATAATAATAATAATAATAATAATAATAATAATGATGATGATGATGGAGGCAAATTTGTTATGCACAACTGATAAAATGTTACATGCTGCAATTAAAGTGATAAAGTGCATAAAATATCACCACTAGACATCAGCAGATTGCAGTCAACTGAATTCTGTTTTACTCCTTTACTTACTCCTCATAGTTCAAGTGCTAAATCCTAGCTACAGTAGCTGCTGTTGGACAAACATTTTAGTCAGAAAGAGTTCAAAAACAGCTTCTTTGCCACTGCTGCTGTTAGTCAGTGTTAGCTGCTGTTAGGTTTGGAGTCAGTCAAACTTTCTTTGAAATGGATTCAACATTGCTGGACTCAAACACTTAGTTTGATTAGATTCTCACACTGTTTGAGAGTTTGCTCGCTGTTTATCTGACAGGAAGTGTCATTTTTAGGACACTCGAGCGTTGGCATAACGTTAGCTTATAACCAGATGTTGTTGCATAACTTTCTCTTTGTGAGCTGTCAGCGCCGTTCACATGTATTTTTCATGAATTAATTGTAACATTTATAAGAACCCATCCATTTGTTGGAAGACTTAATTGCACATAAATATAATATTCTTGTTTTCTATTAAATAACTTAAAAAAATGACTGATTGTACCTTTAAAGTTAACATATTTCTGTTACTTCAGCTTTGTCAATATGAAGCTGAAGTCTGTCACCTTCATTGACTCCACCTTTCGTAACTGCTACTTTGATGATGTGACATCAGTGGGCTCCTTCTTCAGGAACTGTACCTTCATTGACACGTTCTTCTTTAACACAGGTGAGGCATGACTACACAGGTAAACTCTTATGTTTTGTCATTTCTAATACACCATCTATAATCTTAACATGGGAAAGTTTTTGGTTTTTTTGCTTCTCTGGGCAGATATCGATGAATCTAAATTAATTGATGGCACAGAGGTGATCAACAGTACATTTACCCACAACAAGACAGGGTGCCAGATGACTTTTGATGATGACTACAGCGCCTACTGGGTTTACTTCATCAACTTTCTGGGGACCCTGGCTGTTCTTCCTGGCAACATCGTGTCTGCTCTCCTTATGGATAAAATTGGGCGTCTCTCTATGTTAGGTAGGAAAGTAAGACCTGGCTCTTTGGTAACACTATGGATGTGTCAACTTTTACTCTTCTTTTGAATATGTGTGTATGTCCTCAGGTGGCTCCATGATCCTATCAGGCATCAGCTGTTTTTTCCTGTGGTTCGGCACCAGTGAATCCATGATGATTTTCATGTTGTGCCTTTATAATGGCCTCAGCATCTCTGCCTGGAACTCCCTGGATGTTGTCACCACCGAGTCCTTCCCTACTGTCAGGAGGTAACAGGACAAACGTGTTTTTTTTCTTATAGATAACATTGTTTTATAGACTTGTGTATAAAATAGGGCCTAATTCATCCAATTTATGAGAGTAACATGTTTCTGTTTTCGTTTTTTGATTTTCTCTCCCAGGGGAACAGGCTTTGGGTTCTGTAATGCTCTGTGTAAGCTGGCAGCAGTTCTAGGGAACCTGATTTTTGGCTCTCTTGTTGGCATTACCAAGGCCATTCCTATCCTCATGGCGTCATCAGTGCTTGTTGGGGGGGGCCTGGTTGGACTACGGCTGCCTGACACTCGGGCGAATGTCCTCATGTAACACTAGTGTAGCAGTGCTCACCTGGGCTAAAATCTGGATGTGAGAGTCCTAGAGAAACCCCGGTATGCGTTTTGAGGAAGCAGTGCAGCTGGCTTGGTTTTTTATACATATCTTAACACACATCTCAAAGCTCGCTGATGTATAAATGGTGAAGCAAAACCGCAAACACACCTTTTCACAATGTGTCTGATGCAAACCTTGTGAGGTGATAAGTTCAACATTTTGTGAATCATTCACCTACAGAGTTCTCGTTAGAGTTTGGTTTGTTGAGGTTGCACCTTCTAGCTGCAGTCATTGCTTATGTGGTAAAACTGCACGGTTAAAATCTGAAGGCTTTTAATATTGATACAGTCTTATTAAGCCAATCCAGATGGATAGAAAAGTGCAAAAACAAGCTGTAATGAGCACAGCCAACCTGCTGTGTGACAACGCAGGGACTAGATGATCAGACAGTTCATACTCGTGACACAGCTGTATGACAGCTGGCTTGCCCACAGAACCAACTATCAGTACACAGACCATGTGTGCCGATAGTCATCATACAGAAATAAATATAAAGAAAAACATGCAGCAGGTACCTCATTTGCAAAGGTGAGATACATATATCTAATTATTTTCACTCGCTTGCATCTAACATCAGTCTGCTGTATTTAGATCAGTGTCATATTTGCTCCTATATCAGCAACCTTCACAAAGAAGCCCATTTACATCAGAGACCAAGCCCTTTGCACTACTTACCCAACCAAGAATCAAAAAGGCCATATAGAAACACTTTTCCTGTATCAATAATTGTATGTCACGTTGAATATGAACATGGAAATTTTTATTTTCTGCTGTGTGTTTGTGAAAGCCAAAAACAATGATTTGTTCCTTTTGTCCAAATCTCTATGTGGTATTATTATTATTAGTAGTATTATTTAAAAAAAGCTCTAAGAGGAGCTATCCTTCTGATTTAGCTTTGTGTTGGATCCTGCTTGTGGCAGTAACATGTCATGCTGCTTCCTTTCAAAAATACTGAATGGCCTTTTTTAATGTGCCTCTCCTTGACTGGAGCAGATGCCCGTAGTCATGTGCTGTCCAAAGGTTTTAAGGAACAGACAGAAACTGAACAGGCATTAGATTAAAAAAAAAAGAATAAGTAATTTTATGTACATATGTAAAATATGTCACAGATATTGATTCATTTTTGGTCTTAATGTCATGTTTTTTGTTAGACCTACGTATTTTGCTAAAACTTTTGTTTCCTTCTCTCCTGCAAAAATGTCACTGCTATACCAATCGTATCATCAAGATATGACCTGTGGTGTTAGTTACCATGCAAGACGGCAAAATAATAATGTAGATAACAACCACCTCGTTATGACGGCGGATTGGTGCAGCCCATAACGTGTTTTTAAATGCATCTTAATTTAATCAAAATTAACCCCATTTTTGTTGGTTATAGTCGTTATATTCACAGTTGTACAAAACTGAAACTTCTAGGGAACATTAATCTTTTACCTCTCATTAGACTTGATCTCACTGGCCACTTGGTTAGATACACCTATTTAGCTTTAGTCAAGATGACCTGATCAAGCACACACTGATTATCAGAAGGAAGATGAAAGACGATCCAAGTGACTTTGAACATGGCATGGTTGTTGGTACCAGAAAGGCTGGTCTTAGTATTTTAAAAAACTGCTGACCTACTGGGATTTTCCCCACACAACCCTCTCTAGGGTTTACAAAGAATGGCCCGAAAAAAAAGAAGAGAAAATACCTTGTTGATGTTGAGTTCAAGGAGAAGGGCACGGCTGCTTTGAGCTGATGATGAAGCAGATGAGACTATAGCAGCAGAAGACTGCATGTGGTGTCACTCTTGTCAACTAACAACAGGAAACTAAGATTACAATTCACATGAGCTCACCAAAATTGGACAACAGAAAATTGCCTGGTCTAATGAGTCTCGAATTTGGCATAAACAACATGGAAGCATGGATCCATCCTTCATTACATCAGTGTGTCAGGCTGGTGGTGGTGTAATAGTGTGATGAAATTTTCATAGTACCAACTGAGCATCAGTCTACCTGAGTATTGTTGCTGATCATGTCCGTCCCTTTATGACCACAATGTACCCATCTACTGATGGCTGTTTTCAGCTCATATCATCTCAAACCAATTTGAGGTGATATGAGTTATTGTACAGCATGTCTTTGACCTCAATGCACATCATGATGAAGATAATAAAATAAAGATATCAGGAAAAAAATTTGATGCCGTCCCTCCCCCCAGATTCAGTTGCTCTCAGTTTTGAATAATAAACGTGTGTATTGTATTTTCTGTGGTGTTAGCTAACCTTAACCTGCATTTCTCTGTATTTGTGGCATCTGTAACTTCAGTGTGGACCTGGTTTGTGTCTGTGCTGCAGGTGGCTCTCTCTCAGCTACTCAAAAAAACAAAAACTGTACTGTACTTGTGCACATCATTGCCAGAATATGTAAAATAAGTTGGAAAGTGAAGTCTGCTGCTATTGTGCAACATATTTTTTGAGCACATATATATAATTTAAATATTTTTAAAACAAAAGTATGACATACAGAATCTAAATTACAAAAAAACAAAACAAAACAAAAAAACTTGCCCAGCAATATTGACCTATGTCAGTAGCAAAGAATATCAGAAGGAGTCATCAGTATGAATGAAAAACCTGCATTGTTGTACCGGAGAAGTAATATTACCTAACATGTTGGTGTATTTAGGGATTTTGATTATATGTACTGTATTTGTGTGTATGCAAAAGACAGCGAGTCTGAGAGGGAGAGTGTGTGTGGGCTTGTGTATGTAACCATGAATGTAAATATTATGTACATATCAAAGCTGATGTTAGTGAAGTTTCTGGGTTAAATGTTTCAGCTCCTTGAGGGGACACGTGTGTCTCCGGCTTCGTCCAAGCGATAAGTCCATATACTGTATCTCTGTTGTACATCCGCTGGTCCTCAGCTTTCACCTGCTACTCTGTGCGTGCGTGGTTGTGTACGCGTTACACTTGCATGTATGTAAGAAAACTTGCGTTCTTTTATGCTCAACTTTTTTTTATTATTATAAATTCTTCTGGGAGAAAATGATGACAATATTAAGATTTTTGTTGAGGAAAACGTGAATGTATCACTCGTATGTTTTGTTCATCTATTTTTGAGGGGAGGGGGGATAGCCAGATGTGTGTCAACAATAAAGTTGTGAGTACTAATTGTGAAGGGCCTGAGGGGTGACTGAGCTTGATGTTCAGTGGTCAGCAAGTGTGAGAAAATGTGAAGATGTATTTGCCAAATATTCAATTCCCTGTGATTGATGTTAGAAACTGGAAAAGCAGGGATTGCAGACTGTGCTGCTTTTGAACATATATAATAAAACTTATGTTCTCTAGCAAGTTACTCTTCTGTGTCATGCTTGTGCTAAACCTCAGATTAATATTAATACTGATGCTCCTATAAACATCATTTATGTGCATAAGACAACATAAGCCTTAAATTTATGTGTATGCAGTAAGTTTAACTAAACAGTAATAGTTTACAAAGGCTATAAAGTTCAGTTTTTGGAGAAACTCTTTGAGAGAGTTCAGCATTTACACTCATTTTTGACGCAATAGTGGGCGGGTGTGTTTATGGACAGTGCTAGAGCCAAAGAGTGGACAGGCCACTCCAAACTCATGGGATGTTTGGGGACACCTACACAATCGCTCCAAAGTCCATGAGCGGGTGAAGCACATACTTAGAAAACTGAAGTTACAACCACTAGCTACTATGTCTGCAGGTCTTTTGCTGAACGACTGCTTTACTGTCCCTTTTGCCATGTGGAGACATTAAAGCAGCACAAGCATCCATTAAATTCTAATAATATCACAGTTTTCAGCAGTTATATAACACTACATGACAGTTCAGCCCACAGAAGAAAATAACAAGAGGATATACAAAAACAAAAATAATAAAAGATGATGCCACAGAGAAAAAAAGAATACACAAATAGAAAAATGTAACAGTTGTTGTGCCAACCCAGTAAAAGATATGCTTTTAATGTGGCCTCCACATCAAAAATTGTGTGGATGTAATCTTTTTCATTTCATTGTACCACAATGGAAACCGTTTCCAACATTTTGCATACCTGCCAAATGAATACATGCAGATAAACACGTGGTTAGAGTAACTGTGTCCTCGAGGTAATGCTGCCTCCTAGTGGCCAAAATCGAGGACGTGAATCATTGCAATAGCTGCCAATGATTAATGTATAAAGAGTCGGTATAGACTCTTCTGTATACAGACTTCTTTTGGCTGCTCCCTTTTGGGGGGTACCACAGTGGGTCATCTGCCTCACTCTCATCCTATTTCACGCATCCTCCTCGATCACACCAACCCTCTGTATCTCCTCCTTCACTGCATCCATGAATCTTATCTGCAGTTTTCCTCTTTTCCTCCTGCCTGGCAGCTCTATGTTTAACATCCTCCACATGTCCAAACCTTCTCAGACTTGTCTCCCTAACTCTGTCTCCAAACTGCTCAGCCTGAGCCGTCTCTCTTATCTACTCATTTCTAATCACTCCCAAAGAAGATCTTAACATCAACTCTGCCGCTTCCAGCTCCACCTCTTTACGTCAATGCCACCACCAAACTTTACATCACTGCACAACTCACAACCATCTTTTAATTAAACGGTCTCTTTCATTTTTGCTGCTGTTCATTTGTCAAAAATCACCCAACACTCTTCATGTCTCCCCGCCTCCAGGTATTTAAACTTATCCACGTTCACTTCCTATACCTCTCCTAGCATCCTCACTGTCACACCCACCCTCTCATCCACACACAGATATTCTGTCACAGATATTGTTTTTTACTCCAGAGCATACCTACACCTCCAGACCACAATGTTGTCTACAAAGATCATAGTCCACAGAGGCTCCTGCCTGACCTTGCCTGCCAGTATGTCCATCAGCCCCGCAAACAACTCGTCTCTGTCTCGCTGTCCTCATACAGTCTAAAAGCTTTAATTGATTTTAGAAAGATTTTTTACGCAATAATATCTTGAAGTGATATTTTTAACCTCCCACGATGGCCTTTTATGATAAGAACACGTTGTACTAGTAAGTTTATATCAGGAAACCCGGTACCGGTCCGTGAGTCATTTGGTACCGGGCCGCGAGAGTGAGACTCGGGTGTGAAATGTATGGTTTTCAGGGGTTTTATCGGTTTTTAGCGTTATTTTGTTATCGTTTTTTCGTTAACTTGGTTTTCCTGGGTCTTTTCACGTGTGTTATGAATAAATCTTATTTTTTTCGGTACCGGTCACCGGTACTAGTTTTATTTTGTTGTATTTATCCGCGACACCGGTCCGTGAAAATATTGTCGGGCACAAACCGGTCCGTGGCGCAAAAAAGGTTGGGGACCGCTGGTTTATATGACTTGTGGCATCAACTTTGCATACAAAAGCGAAACCTGAACTTTTATGCAAATTAGAGGACGTTAAAAAAAACCCTGTAAAGACACACCCAAGGCAGGGTTGTCTAAGAGAAAAAAAGCATTAAAATAACAAATAATGAAAGCACCAGGCAGAATTAAACATTCACAATTTACCATCTTAAAAATTAAAATAATAATAATACTAATAAAAACAGTTAAAGCTCTGCCCAGACTCACCTTATCACCAGCAGGTGGTGCAAGGTGCTAAAGCTCCGTCAGCGTTCCCGTCAATCATTGCAGCTCAGAGCTGCGCGGGGCAAGAGCACCGACCAGGAGCACTTTGTTCAGGAGGCACCACAAGCTGTGCACACCATGGGGTTCGTCTGCTGCAAGGCACAGTTAGCACTTTCATGAAACTTCTGGACACAGCTGTGCCTATTTTTTTCTCTCCATTTACATCACTATTATTTTTCTTCCCCCAGTTACCAGTTAGTTTATTCACATCTGTATCTGCCGAGAGGCGCGGTCGCCGGGTAACTTCAACGTTAACTTAAGTTATTTCCAGTTGAGACGAGTTCACGGGTGGAGGAAACGAGGCAGGATGTACCATGAAGAGACCGCAGCGTTACACAGGCCACGCTATGGAAGTAAGTGAGATCGTGTTTGATTGTTTTAGAGCTAAAAAAGCTACTGACTCCTACCCCAACGTGGGTTGGTTGCGAGGATGAGGACGAGCTAACGTTTTGGTGCCTTCGCGGGGATGTTTGATGAGCAACAGGTGGGTGAGCTGCACCACTAGCTGCGGGATACCTTCAGTAGGTGTGGCTGGCCCTGACGGTGCGCTTAAAATGCGGATGAAGAGTGGCTATTAGAGGTTTTAGGTGAAAGAAACCACATCCTGGATGCTTCAATAATACTACTAATAGTTATTTGAGACCTAGTTTTCTCCCCTCGCCTCTCACAGGTGGCCCTGAACGCAGCACAATGATTTTTTAATCTGTTTATTTGACAGTGGACGCCAACATAAGGCGTTTTTCTCACAGGTTAACCATTAACTTGAGCTTTCTGCTGCCGCTGTCACATGTGCAGCCTAACCCCGTGAGCACGCCAAGAATTTAACCGAGTCCACTGACAATAAACACAGGTAGGTTTACTGTAGATAGCATGTCTGTGGGCAAAGTACAGCTTTGAGAATAGGCAGTATTACCCCCAGTGCTGTTTTTTTTTCTTCTTCTTTCTGTAGCATCTGACTTGAATCATTATATTTTATTGATCATATCTTGCTACTGTGAATCAATAAGAAGTGTGTCTCCAGATAAGAGAGAGTAGTGTGCTGCAAACTCTCTAAGATATGGGTCCAAACAAGTCCAAATTTGTTGGCCCCAAATCACAAAGTTGTCCTTCAACTGCGCTTTAATTTGCAAGTGCTGCTGTGGGACCCCGAGGCAAATCTATTCATGTATTTCATACTGACCTGAGTTTATTGATTT